CAGCCACAGTCACATACGTCATCTACATCTTCGTCTCCAGAACCCACAAGTCATTGTCATCAAGTACAACCATCTGAGAATAATAATGATGAGGATAATGAGACAAAGCGCGTCAAAACACTTGAGGAAAAACGAGCCATTCGCTTAGAACGAAACCGTATCGCAGCTAAAGAGTGTCGCGAAAGAAAAAAAGCCTATGTCTTAAATTTAGAACGTAGAGCTACTCAAATGGAAAAAGAGAATTCGGTTTTACGTAAAAGAGTTCACGAATTAAAAGCTCAATTGGAATGGGCTGAATCAAAAACTGTTGGCCCTGTTGAAAATGGCCAATTAGAAGCTTTGGTAAGAGAATTGAAAGAAAGGGTAAAAAAAATGGAGAATGGTGAGGATTCTAATATTGTTTTTGGCAAGATGGTTGGTCAATTGTAGAAATGTAGAAATGTAGAAATGTAGAATTTTTTTTAAATTGCGATGAGTCATTATTCTATTTAGCATGATAAGATACTCTTCATTGCGTTTGATCATTTGCTCTCCTAAAAAAAGTATTCTCCTGTCCTTGATGTTTTCCTTGATGTTCCCTTGATGTTTCCCTTGATGTTTCCCTTGATTTTTTCGTGGGTTGTATTTAGTAATAGTTTGATTATTAAAAAAATAGTAGTAATAATAATATGGGGGATATGTCTGTTTCTTTTGATATAATGCTCAGTGGATCAAAATGGATCAAAAACGACACACACAAAGAATACGTACAAGAATACACACAAAAAATATACGTGCAACTCAAAATCACGCAATAATAAACACGCAACATTGGTATATTTTATACGTCACGACGTCATATGATTCTATTATTCTTCGCACATGTGCAATACAGCAGTACACAGACCGATCATAATCACGTACGCACGACGTACGTACAGTACCGGTACTATTACGTTATCGTTATGAGGCTTATTGTGTCGTGTAATGGATTGGATATTTTTTTTTTTTGCAAGCCCTTTTTTAGCCCAATAAAAAAATCTTGATCGATTACACCGCAGATCTGAACGAATACATACATAGAAAAATTCCCCAGATCTAATCTTTTTCATAAGTAACCGTGATACGTTAGACCGAAATCGTTAAAACTTTTAATCTCATATATAATATAAAGTAGTATTAAACGATCATTCTGGATTTCATTCCCGACACTTTTCTTTTTTATTTTTTGATTCCCTTGGTTCTTGTTTTTGATTGTTTGATAGTTGTATCAACTTTTATAATAGGTAAGAATTGCATTTGCGAATAAAGTTATTTGTTGCCGATAAATTACGTACGAATATTTTAATTTGGTTAAAATCGACATTCCCAATTTTGCATTGTTCGAAAATTATGATCTCTGAAGATAAATTATCTGCATAAAGCTGCTTTCTTTTGAGGCTTCTATAAATTATTAATTTATTTAATTCATTTAATTCATTTTAAACTTTTTAAAATTTACCGCTGTCTCATTCGATGATAAATACATTAAAAAGTTAATATCGTAATAAATCTTGTTAATTTAATTACCCTTAATTACACTTTTTTTAGAATGTATCGTTTTTAAACATATATCATTATTAAGTAATTTCTTCTATCAT